ATTGCTGATATCTTAGGCAACAAAGAAGTGTGTGTTTACGCTTTATTATAATAGTATAGATAACAGACTTGCAATAATTCAATATCAGCTATAGGCGATGTTGTTATAGTTTACACGGAATGCATGGTTGCGTTCTGCCATTGGCTTACATGACTCTATTGGGAGGTAAATATGACCGTAACACATAGGGGTAGGTAAAGTCCCACTCTTACCTAAAATAAAGAAGTCTGATTTCTAATTTAAAGGTCCGTTAGTATACAAATAAATTAATCTCTTGGTAAAAAAATGTAATTTTTTAAAGTTAAAACAATTTTTATTTGTGTAGATTTCTTAGACTAGTTGTTGTTCTCGACTTCGTCCACTTGAAATAAGAATAGTTAAAAATACAGCCTATGTTACTGATTATGTACTTTTTTAATGGTGCAATATTTTTTGAAATCAGTCCAGTAGTTTTTGATTGCAATACATACAAAAATACAAATCTTTCCTCTTTATATTAGTATAGATATCTTAGATGCCTCATTGTTTTATTTATTAAGTTTCTTAACCATTGAAGTTAATAGGGTCAAATGAATTATTCTATCAACTTATAAAATAGGTTTTGGATTTACAAAAATGTATATAATAGTTGTCGCAAATCTACTGTATATAAGAATTTTATACAGAATAATATAACATTATTAAATATTATATTATTATTAATTATAAATACGAGTAGTGTTTCTATGTATATAAAGTTTATAGACACTTTCTTTAATAATAGTGGGTATTCAATTTAGAAAACAAATTCAAACTTTGACATATGTCAAAATTTCCCGCCTAAATGTCAGGTAAGTGTTTGAAATGGCGGGAATACGAGTGTAAAGTTTTTCTTTCCATCATTCATTGCACATTATAGTATGGTTTAAAATTGTAAAAAAACAATAAAGTTGTGATTTTTTTTTTAGTTTTTTTTTTGTCAAGTTACAATCTTTTAACGCAATAATAATTTCTGATAACCTCAATAATTATAATAAATTGTATTATTACTTAAATAAATTAATTCTAATTATTTAATAGGTGTTGTTAATAATGAAGTTTGTAATATTATTATTAATAGTAAAATTAATATTGCTTGTCGACAAAAGTATGTTAAATCGCTTAATTATGCTAAAATCTATATATCGCTCTATTCCTCTCTCTTACTCATTTTCTTTTGTCGCATATTCTATAGTGATTATATATTTTTTTAAATAATGTATCTTTAGGAACAGTTTAAAAATTATTTTGAACGTGTTTTAAGTAAAAAAAAACATACAGACAGAATTAAGTACCTCCTTCTTTTGGGAAGTCGGTCAATGAATAGGTCTGTTAAATACAATTTAAGCATATACTTTTTGGTTATTTTTTTTAATGACTTATGTAACATGCCAATCAAATTTAGACCATACGTGTACACGATAGAGTTGATATCGGCGCCGGCACATGTCTGTAAGTTATCTCTCTTGTTTTAGGAGCCTCTTGCAATACATTGACGAAGAGTTAATGCTCAGGTAAAAGCGGAGGTTTTACACTGCATGACACTTCATTGTTTGGTGACAGTATAAAAAAAACTTTGTAAACAAAAATACTTAGGACCTGTCCCACCATATTGTAAATTCTAAGTCTGAGTCTGACAATCCAACGTGTAAAATATCGGATTTTGTTCTCTTATCTGACAGTGACGTCATTTTCGAGCTATCTGAGCCGCTATCAGCCAGTGGTGGGACAAGCAGAATAAAACTCGCTCTTTGGGGTTAAAATATTCAACAAAAGTGCAGAATTCACACTTCTGGAAGTTTAAGAAGTCTGATATCATTGTATAGTATAACTAGATTGTCCGCGTGGAATAAAAAAACCTATATGTTTGTCTTCTAAAGAAAGTTTTTGTATACAAAGTTGTAATTGTTGAATTGATTAAGTTAGTTAAGTTCGAAATAATATTAAGTATCAATTTAAGTATATAAACGAACGTATATTATGTAAACATATATTTAAGTATAGATGTTTGCAGTATAAGTATTAACAGTAGATTAAAATAGATTAAAACGCAACAAGTATGTTAGATTAACATGTAATATATAGTTGTACTGCTTTATCATATATCTATTAGCTTAAGAAAGAAAGAGATAGATATCGTTTATATACTTGATTTTATTTCGAACATTATCATTATTTTATTCAAATGTAGTTAAAAATGACTTGTTATTATATCAGATATTAAATAAATTTCTTAAAATCGAATTGAATTGTATCGATCGTTGTTTTAACACTTTTAATGCCATCGAATTCATTTTAGTACGTAAAAATGGTTTTGAAAGTGTTGTGTGAATTCACAAATGTATTGTGCTATGATATAATTCTAAGTCATGTTTAAGTAGTGCTTTACGCTTTAAAAGTATTTGCTTGATTACCTTGAATTATATCGAAACATGTAAAATAAATGATTTTTAGCACATGCATGATTTGAGGTTATATTTGTAAGGAAAGTCGGTTGCTACTTTGTAAGCGATATCATAAATAATTTATATTATATGAAAATATAAATAATATATTCAAAAGAAGAAATCCGAAATTTAAAAAGATGTTTAAATTTTTTTACTATACTTATCTCTCACAATTTGATAAAAAATATCCCACCAGCACCACTTGTTATTTAAATAAAACCATAAACCAAAATTTAAAAACTAAAATAACTATATAAATATATAAAAAAATCACATTCCATTTTTGTGTCTAACAGCACAACCTGAGCTTACAAAAAATCCTAACCGCACTGCATTTGATAATACACCAAAAACCTACCATAAAAATAACAATATTATTTCCACAGGGCAACACTACCACTTACAGCGGAAACAGCGAACATGGCGCAGGGCAACTCCGCATTATCTATACACGACCAACATCTATCCCAATGCATACAATTAAAACAAAACTACCTAAATAGTTCAACTACAAATATCTACCAAAGTCTTGCTTCCAACTTTCAAAGTCCAATTGCAGCTTCTCGCATATCTATAGACGATCCATTATGTAGGAAAACTGGTGAAACAGAAATAATGTTCGCCGATCAACCAGAAAATGATCTAACAATAGATTCCCCACAAATTAGAAACGCTAATTGCGAATGTGGACAATGTCCTAAACCGGAACCACGAGATAATAACACCTTAAGCGATCTACAGAGATCGGTCGCATCAAAATGTTCCTGCGACGCGTGCAATTCTAACGGAGATATATTAAGTTACTATAGAAACTGTTCCAATCAAAATCATGAATCGGGTATCGTTTATTGTGACAGTTGTAAAAAGCAAAAGATATCGGTATCCAATTTTAGAGCGTTACAGATAGCTAATCGACTGAGAATATCCGATACGGATAAATTAGAGAACGGTACAACCTCTGACGAGGATTTGTGCAGGAAAATTGACATCAGTATGAACATGGATGAGAAGAATTACGAACACAGAAAGAGACATAATAGACACAATTCGGATACAGTGACAGCTGGAATTGATTTGAGTCAATTCTGTCAGTGTGAGTTGGAAAAAAGAAAGACTTCGTCGGTAGATGAGATATTCAAGATGGTGGAAGAAGTGAGAGATGGGAAAGAGTTGACGGATGAGGAAATGAAGATCAGTCAACGGCAAAGAAGTTTATCTGACAGTCAGAGAGATAAAGCTAAAGTTGACGGTGAAGGTAATTTCTCTTTATTCAGTCAAGATTTTTAACGAGCTGTTCCCGTGCGGCTTCATCCGCTTGAAGTTATAAAACTTTATTCCAAATATGAAATTCAAATGCACAAATGACAATGAAGGCATTTGATTGGATAACAATTACCGTTACCATGACAACCTTGCTTGATGTCAGATTGTAGTTGTTGTCCTTTTCCCCCATGACGGTTTTTTTTACAATATAAGGTGGCAAACGAGCAAGCGGCCACCTGAATCCACCAAAATGAAAAGCGACCGCTGCACATAAACATCCGCAATTGCAGCGTTACCTACCCTTCATTGACGGAGAAGGAGACGAACATAAAGAGGACATTTCCCCTTCCTATGTGTCTCCTCCACCGTCAAATCCACTTTTCCTTCCCATCCCTTCCCCTGTAGAAGAGGGTGGAACGGGAAAGGGACTAAAATTAGGCCTCCGTCACCACTATCATCAGACGAAACGCGGAATTACTTCCACTTCAAGCCTGTCTTCTGTGTGGTCGTGGTGCGAAAATTTTAAAGCGGGCTCTACCACTGTTAAAAAATATACTGTGATTGCTGACATCCTACATGACTAAGTAGTGTGTGTTTACGCATTATTACTATCATATAGAAAGGGATGGCTACAAAGGTAGAGGAAGACCGAAGAAAGTATGCATGGATTGTGTGAAAAAGGTTGTGCTTAAGAAAGGAGTGGATTCAGATATGATGGCTGATAGAGATGTATGGAAGAGCACATACTGTGCCGACGCCGACCCTCCGTAAGGGATAAGGGCAAGTGGAATTTTATGAAATATCGTTAGTAATTTATTGATATTTATGGTTTAGCTGGCGTGTCTGTGCCGCCAGTGCCGCCGCGGCGCGCACGGTCGCGACGCACGCGTACGCCGCCGCGCCCCGCCCCCAACGGTCTGCCTCCCACCCCCAAAGTCCATATGGGGGCTTGCTTTTCTAAGGTATAATTACTTCGTCTGTTCTATTTATCTATATCTATACAAATGTTATAAAGAGAAAAGAGTTTTGTTTATGCATTTTTGTATATATTAAAATTAAAAAACTACTGGGCATTTTTATAAATTCTTTCGCTGGTAAAAAGGTTATTTATCTCTGAGTAACATAGGCTGTGCTTTCTTTTTTTTTTAATTTTGCGCGGGAATAGTCTTGATTATTAAGAAGACTGTATCTATGTGTTTTTATCTAAATGTTCTTTGCTTATTATCACTTTGTTTAATTTTTTATTGCAAAGACACGAGGTGGCACTAATCTGATATAGTACCGTTCAGAGGAACTACCGGTGAAAAATCTTTTCACGATGCCTCGTCTATGTGTTTTTGAAATGTCTGGTTTATGTTTTAGGTGTTCAACGGTTGTCCACTCAGAATAAATTGTACTGCGTCCTGGATACATCCAGACACGAGGGATCAGCATATACTAATAGGTGAGTTATTACTGCGAAAAATATAATTCCTCAAGTTATAAAAAACAAACAAATATAACTGATGCGGCAATTTTATTATAAGAACATAGTTAAAGTGTATCGCTATGAAAATACTTGCAGGGGGTTCTTGCAATATACATTGCTATGAAAAAACTTGCAGGCGCTTGTTGCAGTATACATTGCTATGAAAATATCCGCAGGCGTCGGTTGCAGTGTACATTGCTACGATAATACAGGCGCTAGTTGCCGTATACATTGCTATGCTAACACTAGCAGGCGTTATTTGCAGTTTATATTGCTATGATATTTCTCGCAGGCGCTGAAGAAGGCATCTACACGTTGAACCTGAATGAACTTCACGAGACGGCGATGGACCAGCTCTGTCCGCGGAGGACTATCTGGATGCATGTCATCAAAGATGTCCTCATGTCGCTCTCTGGTAATACATAAAACTAGTAGAATCTTTCAAAAGTATAATTTGTAATTCTTTATAAATTAAGGTTTATAAGATGTGATATATTTTTTAATTATTAGTTTACGGCGTAACTTTCTTCTGAAATTAAGTGGTTAAGTGATTCAAATATCTATTTGGGTACCGATTACTATATTTGAACTTGCTTAAAAAATCTTTTCAATGCATACTGAAAGTAAAAATTTACAGTTCAGTACGGTAGTCCTAAGTCTAAGCCCCCCAAAGCGGCCAAATCCCCTGAGAGCTGACCCC